TAAAATCATTATTTTCAACTCAATTATTCCATTAATTTATTAATAAATTCAGTTAAGGGAAATTTCAAAACGTGATAGCATAAAACGTGATAAAAGAACATTTCAATACCGAATGACTAAATATTTGATTCATGTAACCTTATATCACGTTTAACAAATCACCAAACAATTGTTTAAGAATACACATTATCATCAATCCAATAACAGCTCCACATTCACAACTTGTTCCTCCTTACAATAATAAAAAAAACAACAAATATAATGACTGAAAATCTATTACGTGCTATTGAGTTGCTTCCAACACATAATTATAGTGATGAAGAATTAAAGGAACAACTTGGTTCTCTTGCAACTTTATTAGCTGCTGAATTACCAGATGCTGTTCCATTTGAGGAAATAAAAGATAAAGAATCTAATAGTGTCTCTCTATTGACCTTGTTGGTTGTTGGTAAAGTTATTGAACTTCCATTTCGTTTGGCTGCTGTAAATCACATTACTGAATTGAGTAGTAACATTCCATCACTTTTATCTGAAATGGAAACCTCTCTGAAAAATGCTGTAACGAGGGAGGAAATTTGTGAAGTTTGTAATTCAGTGAGTGGTAAGGCAAATGGTTGTCTCGATGCACTTAGTCAAATTTGGGATAAATTCCTTGATAATGGATGTAAGAAAGCAGCTGAATTACTTCCAGAAAATCTTCAAACACCTGCCAATACTATACTAGAATGGTTGAAACCAGCTAAAAAACAAGTTTCATCCAAAGATTGGATTGATAACTTGACTGAAATAACTGATAACACTATTCAGGAAGGTGTTAAAAAATTCAAAACTCAATTACAAGATGCTTTAGATAAGCAAGTATCCAATTTTATGATATTTTGCTTGCTTGATTCATGTACAACGACAGCTCAATTGGCTGGCAAGTTATATAATTACTATATTACTACTCCTAAACAAATTGAATATATTAAGAAGGAATTTTCCAAAATAAGAAATCATTTGGTAGAAGCTTGTTTACTATTGGAATCATACTATTCACATCCAATGTCAACTGAAACAAAGATTAAGAATCATTTGGACAGAGCAGAATCTCTCATTTTCAAAGTGGAAGAAATCATTAATGGAAAATTAAACAGTT